TTTTCCGGTTTCCGGTTCCGGTCTCCGTTTTCCGTTTCCCGTTTTCCCGTTCCGGTGCTTCCCCGTGGTCCCTCGCGTCTTTCTGTGCCGTTTTTCTTTTTCCGTTTTCCGTTTTCCGATTCCGGTTGTCTCCCCCGCGTCTTTCTTCTCCGTTTTCCGTTTTCCCTTTTCCGTTTTCCGATTCTTGTCGTCTGCCGTCGGCCTCCGCTTCCTTCTTCGCTGTTTTCCGTTTTCCGGTTTCCGTTTTCCGGTTTCCGCTCCCCCTCCGGCCCAGCGGAACCATCTCCGGTGATGACCTCATGTGCACCAAACCCGCCAGATTGGTGCATGCCACGAGTGCAGGGTCGGCGGGGCCCAGTAGTATCGAGAAGGCGCGAACCGTTGAACCATCGGAACGCGAAGGTCCTTGGCTCCCAGGGGGCTCCTGGGAATTCTTGGGGCGCCTCGGGCACGCTGGCGCGGCGATGGGGCCTGGTGAGACTGCGTCGGGGGCAGTCGGGCCCCGCCGCTGCCATTTTGGGCGATCATGACAAGCAGCGTTCGGATTTCTGGAGACGCCGAACAACCGCGGCTAAACATCGTGGAAAGTTCGGCCACTCACGGCGCAGCTGCCCCGAAATCGCGACACGGGGCCGCGAGGCAGGGGCGTGCCGGTGAGGCGGGGGAGGGTCTGGAGAAACCGATCCCTGACGATGCGCACGCGTCGGGAGTGTGGAAAGGGACCCCATCCGGTCGAGGCTGCAGAAAGCCCGACCTCCGTCGGAGTGGAGCCACCCTTCAGCCTCTGGGGTGGAAGAAAGCGCTCTTGAAGGCCCCATTCGCCCATTCCTTCGAAACTCCAGGCCCAGGACCGGGTCATTAGATGTGTGAAGCTCCAGACCATTAGCATGCAGCAATAATGGACAGCCTCAGGATGCAGGAAACAATTCATTTGCATGAAAAATGTAGAAAAAATGTGATGTGAAATTGATCAAAATTAGGCCGCTTCAGTATGTTCTTACATACATAACAAACATACACAAGGCCCCGAATGTAACGGCAGCGGCGGCGGCGACACGACGGCAAAGCAGAGAGAAGGGAAATAAACTGCAACGGTGCAGCTGTCAGGAGAAAGTGAATTCCAGCCGGGGAGGTTGCGTGACATCGCATGGCGAATCGCATTGAAACAAAGGAAGCAGAAGGAGAAGGAGAAGGAGAAGGAGGGGAAGGATATGGACGAGGAGAAGGAGAAGAAGGAGGAAGAAGTTGATAGAGGAGGGCGAGGAGGAACATGAGGAGTTGGACGAGGATGACCACGGCGACGAACACGAGGAGGGGTAAAGGGAGGAGGAGAAGGAGGAGGAGGAGGAAAAGGACAGAAGGGGGAAGAAAAGAGGAGGGGAATGAGGAGGAGGAGGAGGAGGAGGAGGAGGAGGAGGAGGAAGAACAGGACGAGGACGAGGAGGAGGAGGAGGGGGGTGGACATTTTTCGAGCATCCCCCACGGGTGGAAACCCTGCCGCAGCAGGCTTGCTGCATCCACGAACACCAGCCCCCACCCCCGCTGATGCGGAAAGGAGTGAAGGCGCTGAGTTGGGCTTGGCGGGGATCGCTGTGGTCTTATCGCAGGCCCGCCGCAGGCGCCGATTTTGAATCAAAGCAGAAATCTGCACTGATATCGCAAACCCGCGAACGACGCTATTTCTTTATAGGAAGAAAACGGATACTGTTTGCAAACCTGCCGCAAGCGCCGATTCTGCATTGAAGCCAAAACCGGCATGAAAATGGCAAGCTCGCCGCAGGCGCCGATCTTATGATCAGGAAACGAATTTTGATTGCATGCCCGCCGCAGGCACCGATTAAACGTTGAAACCGTAACGAGCGCGAAGATGGCAAGCCCGCCGCAGGCGCCGATTTTTTCACCAGAAAGTAAATTCTAGAAAACGAATTCATGGCGCAAGCCCACCGCGAGCGCCGATTTGTCATTAAAAACGCGAATAAAATGACGATCGACGCCGATTATTTCAAGAACCATGAGGAAATCACAACCGCCGCAGGCGCCGGTTTTTGTCTTGCGCAGAAAAAGCCTTTTCCCCTCCCACGAAGCCGCGGAGGCCCCCCTATTGGGCGGCATGGCCGGGGGGGGGGGGGGGGGGGGGAGGAGCGGGGGGAGGAGGAGGAGGAGGAGGGGGGGGGAAGCGGGAGGAGGAGGCGGAGGGGGAGGGGGGGGGGGGGAGGAGGAGGAGGGGCGGGCAGAGAAATAGCGAAACCATAGCGAACAAATAGCGGAACAATAGCGGGAAGAAAGGTGCATCCCCGGGGACTTTTGCGGCGCCTATTATATATATATATATATATATATATTCTCGCTATTTTTTCGGCGGCCGAAACAGACAATTCCGCGCACCTTTTTTTTCGCTATTTTTTGTTTATGTTTTCGCTATTTCCCCCTATTCAGTATACAAGAAATAACGCAAAATATTCAAAAAATATGTTTCGCTGGGCGCGCCTATTTTTCATTAAAAAATATAATACATGTGAAAAGTACGTCTGCCGAAGCTATTGAAAATGTAGAAAAAATGAATGAACACATAAAACATATAAGCGAAATGATGTGTTCCCCGGGGCCGCCGGCCGGAGCAAAGTGAAACAGCGCGACGCCGCCGGGAATCCTGCGGCGGATTGATGCCGCCCCATCCCAAAGAGCCTTGCCCCACCCCCCTGCCGCGAACACCATTGGGTAGAGAGGCGGGCCGTCCCGGGCGGGGGGGCGGGCGGGGGCGCAACGCCAAGCGAAGCGCGCAGCCGCGCGGGTCGCAAACGAGGCGCCGTGACTCTTGTAGCGGAGCCCAACAGTGCATCCCGTCGGCCCTGTCGGCGATCCCTGCTTTCTCAAACGAATTCCTTGTCGGGGATGGGCGCGACCCTTGTCCCGGACCCCCTTATAGCAGGTCCATCAAAGCGCCCACGATGGCTCAAACATTGCCCCCGCGTGCGGCAAGGCTCAAAACGGCCCGCGATACGGCTCCAGATAGCCAGAAATCTTCCAAGACCCAAAGCGCCACCACGCCCTGAGGCACGGAGCGGGCGTGTTCCGACGTCATCTACCTCACTCTTGAGCCTCAGTCCTCTGTCTTCAAAATTCTTTGAAGGACCTGGAACCCAAACTCAGAAATCTTTTGGGGCTCCCCGCGCCTTTTCCGCATGATTTGTGAGAAGCAATTTTGCGATCCCTCCGGATGCGAAAATCCCACCCCCCCACCCACCCAAAGAGGCCCCGAGAGGCAACAAGGGCCCCCAAGAGGGCCCGCAAGAGGCCCCAAAGAAGCCGCAAGAGCTCTCAAGAGTCCTCCGAAGAAGGCCCCGAGAGGCCAACATCGGAGTGAGGAGGGGGTTCCGCCCACGCGAATTCGTTTCAAGTCGCGCGCGTGTTGGTTGCTCTGGGGTCGGCAAATCGTTCCGTCATTTCTTTGTTCTTCCGGCCAAGGGGGGTCGGCAGGCCCGCCAATGGGGGGGCCTCCGCGGCGTCGTGGGAGGGGAAGGGCCCTTTCGGTGCAAGAAAAAATCGGCGCTGGCGGCGGGCTTGCGATCTCCCCGTGGTTATTGAAAAAATCGGCGCCTGCAGCGGGCTCGCGATCTTCATTCTATTTAAGGCTTCGCTGAAAAATTGGCGCCTGCGGTGGGCTTGCGACAAGAATTCGCGTTCTGGCGATAAAATCGGCGCCTGCGGCGGGCTTGCCGCCCTCATGTTTTTAATCGCTTCAATGAAAAATCCGCGCCTGCGGTGGGCTTGCGACATGAATTCGCGTTCTGGCGATAAAATCGGCGTCTGCGGCGGGCTCGCCAGCCTCATGTTGGTTCAGGCTTCAATCCAAATCGGCGCCTGCGGCGGGCTTGCGATCGAAATTTGTTGTCTGGTGGTAGATTCGGCGCCTGCGGCGGGCCTACTCCTATGGTATATGTATATATGTTGAAGATGTAATAACAATCTATGTTCGCAACCTAATTTTTCCCTACTTTGAAACTGTTCCACATACCAGAACTTGTGCAGATTACCTTCATTCCAACAGACCCAGACTCCCCATCCCCCCGCCCAGGTCCACTCAGGTGGTGGGGGGTCCCCAGACTGATCGCCGACGTCGGCCCCAGCTGGGCCAGCGGGAGGTGGGGGGGTCTCTGACCGAAGGATCCTCCGGTCCGGGCTCGGACCTGGATGAACCAGCCGGCGGCGTGGGGCGCTCGCTCGCCCGGCAAGTCTGCCTCCCCCCCGATCTCGCGCTCCTACGTCTTCGCCGGCGCAGTAGCAGATGGCGCTGACCTCGTCCATCGGGGCGTCGAGGAGCGGCTCCGCCGTGGGCTCCGCGCAAGCCGTCGAGAAGCCGAGGTGCCGTGTGTGCCAGCCGGCTGCGCCCCGGGGGCGCAAACCCACGCTGGCCATGAGCAGCAGTGGTACGGCGCCGCGAGGCATGGCCGCTCCCGCTGCGCGCCGCGGCATGCCGCGTTGAGGATGGTCGGGCCCGACCACCCAGACCCCTAGGCCGGTTCCCAGCTCGAACCCAGAAGGCACTTGAGCCCCCAATGGGGAAAGAGGAAAGGAGGGGAAAGAGCACAGCAGAGGCAAAGGCAAGGAAGGGTAAGCACGATATTGGGCTCCTGGGGGGGTAGTTAAGAGGGCCAGACGTTTAGGCAAACAGCTATGCGTGGTGGTCGTCGTCGTCGTCGTCGGCGTCGTCGTTGTCGTCGTCGTCGTCGTCGTCGCCCTCGTCGCCGCCGCGCTCCAGCAGGCTGTCGTCGCCGTCGCCGTCGCCGTCGCCATCGTCGTCGACGCCGCCGTCGTCGTCGTCGTCGCTGCCGCCGCCGCCGCCGCCGTCGTCGTCGTCGAGGTCGTCGTCGTCGTCGTCGTCGTCGTCGTCGTCGTCGTCGTCGTCGTCGTCGTCGTCGTCGTGGTCGTAGCCGTCGTCGTCGGTGTTCTCGTCGCCCTCGCCGTCGTCCTCGTCGTCCTCGCGGGGCGGCGGGGCGCACTTGGGCGGGACCGGTCCCGCCCAGGCGAACTTGGGCCTGGAAGGTGAAGCAGAACAGGACCTGGCGAGGAGGACGACGAGGATGGCGTCGATGACGTCGAGGACGAGAGCCAGGACAGCGTCGAAGACGACGAGGGCGAGGACTCCGACGACAGCGGCAATAGTGGCGCGACGCTGGTGGCGACGACGACGAAAAGGGCGTCACGATGACGTGAAGGACGAGGGCGACGACGACGAGGACGACGTCGATTCAGTTCGAGGACGAGGGCGACGACGATCATGGCGAGGACCACGGCAGCGAGTAGGAGGACGGCGACGGCCAGGACCACGACGAGGCGCACGGCGGCGAGGACGACGCGGGCGACACCGAGGACGAGGACAGGCGCGACAGAGGGGCAGAGTGAGCAGGGAAAGGAAGAAGGAGGAAAGAGAGGGCTCCTGCGATGGAGGGCGGGAACGGAACGAATGAAGATCCAAATCCCACCAGCCCTTTGGGCGTGAGTGGTTTAGAGAGCCCGCTCTGTTCTCAACCCCCTTCTTCCCCTTCGGGGAGGGGTTTACCCCTCCCCCTACCCCCTCCCCCTGGGCCTGAAGAGGTCCTTTCGCGGGTCGTTGGAGGGGTCTTTTTCGACTCCTGGGAGGGCTAAAACTCGACACCCCTCACGAGGATCGTGGCCCCGACGGGGGAGGGAGAAAAATGCTCGCCCCATCTGTGATCGATCGCCCGAAAGATGGCCCCAAGATACCTCCCAGACCCCTCCCAAAGAGCCCCAAGAGGCCCCAAGAGGCCTCCAAGAGGCCCCCAAGATGCCCCCAAGAGGCCCCCAAGAGGCCCCAAGAGGCTCCCCCGAGGCACCCAAGACGCTCCTGGAAGCCCCTGGGGCCGCCAAGAGGCCCCCAAGACGCCCCAAACGGCCTCCAAGAGGCTCCCAAGAGGCCCGAAGAGGCTCCCCCAAGGCACCCAAGACGCTCCTAGAAGCCCCTGGGGCCGCCAAGAGGCCCCCAAGACGCCCCAAAAGGCCTCCAAGAGGCTCCCAAAAGACATCCCAAGAGACTCCGCGATGCATCCAAGAGGCCTCTGGCCCTTCTGCTCGTCCTCCCCTCCTCGTCCGCCTCCCCCTCTTCCTCCTCCCTCCTCCCCTCCCCCACCTCCTCCTCCGATTCCTCCTCCATCCTCCCCTCTTGGGATATGGCGGCATCCCCTGTCCTTCGTTTCTCTGTATGCTCCCACACTTCCCTGATCGAATCAAAGCAACTCCTCTGGGCATCATTGCTGAAAAGATGACCAACAAATCCCGACAGTCGGTACTCTTTGCTAAAGTGGCTGTTTTAGGATGGGCTGGTGGGGATTCGCGAAGCGTGAACAATTCAAATCCAGCTCATGGAGTTCTGATTATCTAAACATCCGATCGCCGATGCCTGCTGCCGATCTTGCTCGAATTCGCAAGGTTATACATTCTGATCACCTCACCAACCGAACGCGGACGACTGCTGCTGATCTTGATCGGACTCTGATGGGGTCGGAACGGAGGAACAGAGAGTAGGGAGAGTGGTGGGAGGAGTGCCAGAGAGGAAGGAGGGGGCTCCCTCGAGATGGGGCGTCGAGGAAAGAGCAGGGAAGGAGGATTGATGGAGGAGGGTGCCCCTTCCCTCCCCCTGCCTCCCCCCTCCCTCCCCTCACACCTTCAGCTCCTTCTCTCAGAGGTCCTGGCGCCCTCCGGAGGTCCTCCAAAGTCCCCCCAGGGCCCCTGGAGTCCCGACGAGGCCCAAACCAGGCCTGGGTCCTCGACTGGAGGAAGGCAACATGAACATTACGGGATCCGCGCGGAGTGCTTGGATCGGCGTTGACCCCCCTCCCTGGCGCACGGAGCGCGCCAGGTGCGGTGTCGGAGGCGCCACCAGGGGGGTCCAGGGCAAATCCAGAAAATCTGCGCGGAGCTCCGAAAGTTTACGTTCACGCAAGTCTTCTTGCCCGATCCTCGATCCCTCCTCCCTCCCTGGCATCGAGGTGGGGTTGCCTCCGCGGCGAGAGAGGGTGTGCTGGCGCTGGTCCGAGCAGTGCTCGCCCGGCCCGGCCTCGGCCAGCTCCGCCTCGCCCGACCGCGCACGCTGTGCTCAGCCAGGCGGTCCAGGCGGCCCCCCTCCAAGATCAGGCCAGGACAGGAACAACATCGGGGATCTCTGAAATCCGGTTGTCCAGGAGGATGTATCACACCGCGCCCCTTCGGAGCCTTCCAAACCGCTCTGGCACGACTTCTCCCTGTCTTGGCCCCGCCGACACGGTCTAGACGGCACCACCTCCCTCGCTCCTGGCGGGCCAAGCCGCATCGACCTGCAGAACCAGATCGGACCAGCAACGGATCGGACCGCCAACGAATCGCCCCAAGTCGCATCGAGATCGGACCGCCGCGCCCGGCCCCAGCTGATCCTGACCGATGCCGGGGCGCGCTCTGACCAGAACTTCGAGGCGAATCCAGCCGCGGCGACGAGGGACTCACAGGACGAGGCAGGGACAGCGGTATCGAAACCTCTCCCTCCTCCGCAAGCCGGCGAATCGAACCACATCGAATCGGATCGCAAGGCGGCCCTACCTGGGAGGAACAGAAGACTGCATAAACTGAAACTTTCGGAGGTCCGCGCGGATTCTTAGATCTGCGCTGGGCCTCTTCGCCGATCCAAGAAATCCGCGCGGAGCTTCGAATATTTCTCCCTCTCTCTCTAAATATATCTGTATATATACACACACTAGAACAATCGCGCGCGGCTTGCGCGCGCTCAAGTTCTAGCTAGGCTGGACGGTCGAACTCTTGGGGGTCTCTATTCCATGACACTTCTTCTCCGGGGCTTCCAAGAATCACGAAGACGGCACAAGTGGCTTCCAAGACTGCTTAAGGTCTACCCACGACTGCTTAAAACAGGCCCAGAAGGCACATCGGGTGCCCTTTCATTCGCCGCGGCTGGACGTAGCCAGAGGATGAGGGAGGAGAAGGGGGGGTGAAGGGTTCCCTGGGGGAGAAGGAGAAGGAGGATGAGGAAGAGTTGGAGAGGGTGGAGGAGGCCGCAGAGGAGGAACCTGAGGAGGGGGAAGAGGAGGAAGTATTTGTTTTGATTGCAAGGGTAGCGAAGCTGCCAGGCGAACTAAAAACAACATGTTGGAATCATAGTTTTTCTCTAATGCCCTCAGGGCCTCTCTCGGGGCTCTTTTGGGCTTCTCAGGGACCTCTTGAAGCCTCCTGGGGGTCTCCTGTCCTGGGGCGAAGATCTCAAATTCTCGGTTCACGTTCCCGATCCTGGGCTGCGGTTGGGGTCCTGCCGGGCCGTCTTGGACGTCTCTTCGGCGCTTTTGAAGCCTATTGGGCCGTCTTGGGGTGCTTTTGAAGCCCATTAGGCCGTTTTGGGGCGATCCTCGGAGCCTCTTGGGGCGTTTTGCAGCGTAGGGAAGCGGAACAGGCGGAGACGCCAACATTGTTCAACAACCTATGGGAAAACATGTTTTCCGGCCTCTTCGAGCTCTGTTGGGAAACCTCATGAACGCCTCTTGGATATATTGGGGGCCTCTTGGGCCGTCTGGAGGCCGCCTTGGGCGTCTTGGAATCGAAGACGCCTACGGCGAATCACCGCCGCCCCCTGCCTTGTTGGAAGCACCTATGTGGCCGAACGTTGAGGCCAGACCTGCTAAGCCATCGGACCATGTGTTCCCCGAATCGGTTTGGAAAGCCTTCGGGAAACACGTGGGCATCTTGAAGGTCATCTTGGCCGTCTTGCAAGCCTCTTGGGCGATCTTTCGGCGATCTTTGGGGGGCTCTTGTGCCGTCTCGGGCCGTCGGAAGGCCGAAAAGAAGGAAATGTCAAAATCCGTCAAACACCCAAGGAAAATCAATGTTTTGTTTGGCCTGTTCTGGCCTTCCTGGAGGCCCTCTTGGGGGCCTCTTGGGCCGTCGTCTTGGGCCAGCTTCGAGCCAACTTCGGCCATCTTGGTGGGTTCCTGGCACGTCTGACGCCGTCGGGAGCCGTTTTGGGGGCCTTTTGGGGCCGACTTGTGGCCCTCTTGGGGCGCTTCGGGGCCGTCGTGGAGGCCATCTTGGGCGTCTTGGAGGCCATCTTGGGCATGTTGGAGGCCTCTTGGGCCGTCTTGGGGCCATCTTGGAGGGCACTTGGGCCGTCATGGGGCCCTCTTGGGGGCCTCTTGGGCGATCTTGGGGGCCTCTGGGGCCGTCTTGAGCCGTAGGAATGCCGAGAAGAAGCAAATTCCCAAATCCTTCAAAAACCTAAAGAAAATCAATGAGTTTGGCCTCTTCGGGCCCTCCTGGAGGACCTCTTGGAGGCCTCTTGGGCCGTCTGGGAGGCCTCTAGGGGGCCTCTTGGGCGAACTTGGAGGTATTTTGGACCCTCTTGGGCCGTCTAGGAGGCCGTCTTGGACCATCTTGGGTGGACTTGGAGGCCATCTTGGACCATCTTGGAGGCCATCTTGGGCCGACGTGACCATCTTGGAGGCCATGTTTGGCCGTCTTGGAGGAAGAATTGGGATTGGGCGATGGCGTGTGCGTCTCACGGGTCTTGGGGGGCGGCCGGCGGGACGGGCCGAATCGCCAGGGGGGAGTTCTTTTGGAACAAAAAAAAACAAAACCCAAACCGAGAGGGTCCAGCACGCCAGGCACCCCTGCGATGAATCGATAGGGGGCAGCGGACACCTAGTGGCCTTCGGCCCGTCCCGCCACCGTGCCTGGGTTGTGGGTTAGAGGCCTCTTGGAAGTTCGTGTGGAATTCGTAGGGACCTCCTGGGGGCTTCTTGAAGGCAGCTTTGTATGCCTCTTGGGGGCAGTTTGGGGTGCTCTTGGGGCCTCTTTTTGGGTCTCTTTGGGGACTCGTGGGGCCTCTAGGGCTCTAGGGGGCCTCTTGGGCTCTCTTGGGGGCCTCTTGATGCCTCTTGGGGGCCTCTTGGGGCGGAAGGCTCGAATTGTCGGTTCGTGTTCCCCCTCTTGGGCCCCTCTTGAGGCCCGCGTGGGGCCCTCTTGGGCGATCTTGAGTGCCTCTTGGGCCGTCTTGGGGCACTCTGGCCGTCTTGGGACTCTCTTGCGTCGTTGTGACGCCCTCTTTGGGTGCCTCTCTTACTGTCTTGAGCTGATTTCTGCACGAAAAAGCGAGAACACGAAAAACCTTAAAAAACCATCGAACAAACAACCTACTTGTTTCGCCTGCTGAGGGCCTCGTGGGAGTCCTTTTGAGGGCATCGTGGCCGTCTTGAGGCCCTCTTGGGCTGTCTTCAAGCCATGTTGGACCAATGTTGAAACGCTCTTGGGCCATCTTGGCGCCCTCCTGGACGTCTCTCGGGTCCTCTCGTCGCCTCCCTTTCCCTCGTTTGACGCGCTCTGGCACCCCCCGACGGGTCCAAAACGGCCGGATACGAAATCAGTATACTCCAGGCCCCCCGGGACCCCCTCCCCATTTATACATGCATATCATTGCCCGATGTTGTTCCTGTCCTGGCCTGATCTTGGAGGGGGGCCGCCTGGACCGCCTGGCTGAGCACAGCGTGCGCGGTCGGGCGAGGCGGAGCTGGCCGAGGCCGGGCCGGGCGAGCACTGCTCGGACCAGCGCCAGCACACCCTCTCTCGCCGCGGAGGCAACCCCACCTCGATGCCAGGGAGGGAGGAGGGATCGAGGATCGGGCAAGAAGACTTGCGTGAACGTAAACTTTCGGAGCTCCGCGCAGATTTTCTGGATTTGCCCTGGACCCCCCTGGTGGCGCCTCCGACACCGCACCTGGCGCGCTCCGTGCGCCAGGGAGGGGGGTCAACGCCGATCCAAGCACTCCGCGCGGATCCCGTAATGTTCATGTTGCCTTCCTCCAGTCGAGGGCCCAGGCCTGGTTTGGGCCTCGTCGGGACTCCAGGGGCCCTGGGGGGACTTTGGAGGACCTCCGGAGGGCGCCAGGACCTCTGAGAGAAGGAGCTGAAGGTGTGAGGGGAGGGAGGGGGGAGGCAGGGGGAGGGAAGGGGCACCCTCCTCCATCAATCCTCCTTCCCTGCTCTTTCCTCGACGCCCCATCTCGAGGGAGCCCCCTCCTTCCTCTCCTCCCACCACTCTCCCTACTCTCTTTTCCTCCGTTCCGACCCCATCAGAGTCCGATCAAGATCAGCAGCAGTCGTCCGCGTTCGGTTGGTGAGGTGATCATACCCCTCCTCTGCGATGCCTGGCCTCTGGCATGGGGGAATCGGGTCCTCAGGGAAACGGGTCCTGGACCCTGGGGCCTTCCCCAGGACGAGATCGTCATCCCGAGTCGTTCTCTGACAGTCCCGGGGCCCGTGGAGGGCCCCGCGAGCCCGAGAACGCCGACAAACCTCAGGACCCGCTCCCCCCATGGCGCTGGCCTCCAGTCTGTTGGAGCCCATGTTGCCGGCACCGTGGTTCATGTTCATGTGGGCGTCCACCTGCCCGGGCGCGGGTGCGGGCGCGCCGTCGCCCGGGGGGAGGGGAGCGGCGGGGCGGGCCTGCGAAAAATGAATGGGTCCCAGGGGCACGCAAAAACAAATGGACCTACAAGATTTTCTGGATGCTCGTCTTCCCCTTCACTCCCAACATGTTGCATGGGAATCGACGATGATTTGTGTCTGTGTGTGTTTCCCTCCTGAAGAAATTGTGTAGTGTGTTTGTGTGTGTGTATGTGTGAGAGGGCGCATTCAAGTCAGGTTCCGTCCGATTGGCGCCTATCAGTGTCCACCAATGTCCTCAGAAGCGATTGTTAACGCCTCCTCGTGCATATTAGCGCCTGCTCGCGCATATTAGCGCCTGCTCGCGCTTACTAGCGCATGTTGGCGCCTACCAATGTCTACTAGCGCCTACTGGCGACGACAAGTACACAATACCAAACGCTAATAGCCGGAAAGACAACAACTCATGCATAAAATGGCTCGCGCTCACAACACACCTACGAGAAGGATCGGGGGATGCAGGAAACAAAGAAGGACCAGGAGAGAGAGAGAGAGAGAGAGCGATCGGGACGCAGTTATACATTGGATCCGTCGTCGGCGTCATCCAGCGTGTTCATTCTGGCATCGAGGTTTGGCCACGCTCTCTCGCCGGTTGCCGCTCTCGAGAGCGTTTGGCGGTTCGTTCTCCGATTCTCCTGCCAGCGCGTCCACTCGGATGCAAGGCCTTTTTGCTGTGCTGTCATGCTACGCTTCCTTGTCGGAAATAATACGGACCATGGCGAAAACGAAGGTAAGAATTTAGCGTTCCCGTCCCTTTGTGTCTGCTGGAGGTGGCTTTTGACGCAATATGACCAGGCTGTACGGTCAGCATCTGGCATAGGGACGAAGGAAGAAGGAGAGAGGAGAGAGGGGATGTTATTGGCGGCGAGCCCAAGGGGGGAGACACATGGGGGCGGGGTTTTCAGAAGGCTCAGAAGGCCCCCGACCTTCTGAGAAACTTTCTGAGCCTTCTCCGAGGACACAGACGGCTTCTCAGAAGGCGCGAAGGTTTCAGAGAGGCCCCGCCGCTGTCAGAGAAGGCCTGCCCCCTCTCATTTCACCGGACGGGCGTCGGGCTGGGCGTCGGTGGGGGGGTCGGGTTGGTCTCCCTGGTCCTGCTGTGATTGGCACTGCTGGGTGGACGCGCCACTGCGCCCCCGCCACCTGCTGCACCGCTTCCTCACTGGCCAGCCACCAGTGGGATCACTCTCCCTAAACCCACCTACGCAAGCTTCAGCAAGCAGCACTGCCGCTCCCTCCAGCCGGCCTTTGGCCATCCCCGTTGTATTTCGCCGCCTGGGGTGCATCCACCTCTGGCCCGGCTGGACCAGGACATCGTCGGCCTGATTCTGCCCTACCTGGTTCTGTACCTCTTATCAGATTATTATTCTTCTTCTTCGTACACCAGCCCCTGGCTCGGCCCCTGGGTGTGGCCGCGACGCCGTCCGGCGCCCGCTGCCAGGGATGCAGCACTGGCTGGCTGCCCCAGCCGCTCCGCGGCGACGCCCGCCAGGTGAGCGCCCTCCCCTCCCCTCCTCCAGCCCCGCAGCCGTTTCCGCCTGTCTTTTCCTCCTCCTGCCGCCAGTTAATCCGCGTTTTTTGTTACCCGGACTGCCTGAGCACGTGTGCGGACTGCCTCTGCCGCGCTGCGACGTAAAAAAGTCGGGCTGGGCGTCGGGTTGGGCGTCGGACTGGGCGCCAGGTTGGGCGTCGGGCTGGGCGTAGGGTTGGCAGTGGGGTTGGGAGTCTGGTAGGGCCGTCGGGCATGCTACGCTTCCCGACACCGTCGTCGGGTACAGGTTGGAGCAGCCCTCCATTAAGGTCCAACTGTTGCCAGTCAGGACAATGTATCTGGATGGCGCGCCGCAGCTGCCCACCGTGTTCTCGAAACCGCCCAATCATTGTAACTGTTTTTGCCAGAGCAAATGGCAACTAAGGTTGTCCAGAAACCGTTCGCACACTGCGGGTTCAGGAAAGAGACGGACTGGTCGCCGATCATCCAATCCGGATTCCAGGTGGATTGGGCGCCGATTGCCTCGTGGCTCAAGGTCATGGTGCCTGCACCAGGTGGTCTCCGTCCCTCCGTGCCAGTGCTGCACGAACGTGAGCAAGTTGCCAGCAGGTGAGAGGCATGCGCGCACCTCTGTCCCATGCCTCCGCCAGGCATTTTCCCTTCCAATCGTAGACACACCTGCCAGCAAACTGGTTGCGGAACGAATTGCCCCAGTAAGCACCACGAGCGGGATGAACAAGGTGGCGAATGCCTTGTATAACATCTTTGGGACGGTACCAAAGTTATGTGCGTATCTTAAAGTGTGCTTAATACAGATGCACTCGAATCATAATAACTTGAACCAACATGTTTCACTCAATGATTTTGGCTGCCCGGGTGGGCGCCGCGGCCGATACGTTTTGGGATGCGTCTCGACACGCGATTGTGTAATACCTCCCTGCCTCCAAACCTCCCACTCCTCCCCCGCACCTTCCAACCATCCAAAGCCCCGCGAGATTACAAAGCTTACGGCAGCAATGACGATGACTGCGGCGACGACGGCTACGATCACAGCGATGGCGATGATTACGGCGAAAGCTACGACGGCGACGATAGCGACATCGGGGACGCAAATACGACGGTGACGCGACAACGGTGGCGTCGACGCCGAAGGCGACGACGATGACGGCGGCGACGATGGGCCTGTCAGAGCTGCTGAAATACACCCTTTTTCGTATTATTTGTGTACTCTGTTCGGGATGGTGGGGGCTTCGGGATACATTTTGGTGCAGCTCGCGGGCGGTGACTGCTGCGACGACAGCTGCGATCACAGCGACGGCGATGACGGCGGCGGCGACGACGGCGGCGGCGACGACGGCGGTGGCGGCGACGATAGCAACGACGAGGACGCAACGACGACGGTGACGCGACGACGGTGGCGGCGACGCCGAAGGCTACGACGATGACGGCGGAGAGGATGGGCCCACTAGAGCAGCTGAACTATCACTGTTCGAGTTGTCATTGAACTCTCTGGGGGAGGGATTCGGGATACATTATGGTGCAACCCACGGGAAGTTGGGTCAGATGAAAAAATTGCCCCAGCCTCGAACATTACCCCTGTGATCAATCCAAGGGAAGAAAAAAATATGCGCTGACGGCCCGAAATGGCAAAATGTGGCCCGATGAGGCCACCAGCTCCTGTAAGAAAGACTCCAGACTTCCACACAAAGAAGCTTGCTTGGGTTGTGCTCCAGCTTCTGCGGGACCCTGCATCGCAACATTGGACGACGGGCGACGCAACAATGGACGAGGGGAACACGACGGCGACGACTACGAAAGCTTCAATCCTGAGGAGACCGACAAATCTGCGACTTTCCACCAAAGAGCCACACACACACGCACAACAACGCAGCGTTGTCGCTCGAGGTTCGCTGCAGCGAAGCTGCTTCCGACGAGAACCCCATCAGCTCTTAAAGCAATTATCCGGGCGAAAGACCCATCCACACGCAAGTGTGAGAACCGCAAGGCAAGTAGAACGAGAGAGAGAGAGAGAGAGAGCGAGCCGTGCACGTCCAGGGTGCATTGGCAGTAATGGCACTCGGGCTCGTACCGGTGCTCAGAAGCAGAGGCGCCTGGCAGCTGCGCGCCACGCGTGTGCGGAACCTTGCCACAAGTCTTGCAGAGGTGCTGGTCCACCTGCTGCCTGGCATGCGAGGTCGTACACGCAGCGGTTCCATGTATTTCTGGGCCGGCCGCGCTTGCGGGGGCCACGCGGGCGGACCAAGTGGGACGAAGCAAAGAGAATTCCCAACGGGGCCACGAACCGTGTGCGGGGTGCGCCAAAATGGCGCGGGGCCGCCATGCGAGCCCTGCCACTGGGACCTTTGGTGGAACCCCCTATGGGGCCACGAACCGTGTAAGGAGTGCGCGCGCCAAAATGGCGCGGGGCCGCCATGCGATCTCTGCCACTGGGGCCTTCGGTGGAGCTCTCTATGGGGCCACGAACCGTGCAAGGGATACGCCACAATATGGCTGGGCCGCTATGCGAACCATGCCACCGGGGCTTTCGGTGGAGCTCCCTGTGGGGCCACGAACCATGTGAAGGGTGCGCCAAAATGGCGCGGGGCCGCCATGCAAACCCTGCAGGGCCTTCGGTGGAGGGCCACGAACCGTGTGAGGGGGTGCGCCAAAATGGAGCGGGGCCGCCATGCGAACCCTGCCACTGGGGCCTTCGGTGGAGCTCCCCATGGGGCCACGAACCGTGTGAGGGGTGCGCCAAAATGCTAGGCCGCCATGCGAACCCTGCCAGTGGGGCCTTCGGTGGAGCTCCCTATGGAGCCACGAACCGTGTGAGGGGTGCGCCAACATGGGGCGGGGCCGCCATGCGAACCCTGCCACCGGGGCTTTCGGTGGAGGTCCCTGTGAGGCCACGAACCATTGAAGGGTGCGCCAAAATGGAGCGGGGCCGCCATGCGAACCCTGCCACTGTGGCCTTCGGTGGAGCTCCCTACGGAGCCACAGAACGCTGTACTGGATGGGTGAAACGCAAGGGAGGAAGGAGGAGGGGGAGGAGGGGGGAGGGGGAGGAGAACGCAGGGAGCGCAGCAACACAGGATGGTTGGGAATGATGAGGAGGCGGGAGGAGATATTGAGGATCGAGGCGTATTTGTACGTTTGAAATATCTCACTGGGTCTCGAGGCTTCTGCTTTCAGTGATTGCCTGCCCCCCTGAAAATGCGATCGCGTGGGGGGTGGGCGGCCGTTGCGTTTCGGGTTCGGGCAGGCGATGACTGCCTGGACAACAACGATCGAATATAGAGTACGGAGCGACAATGCCACGATGCACTGATGGCCCAAAAGGGCTATATGTTGTCCGGTGAGGCCCATCGGCTCCTATAGAAAGAGCCCCGTATCAATCCCCCAACACACAACACAACACATCATGTTGTTGGTTGCACGTTCGCCGAAGGTTGGACCTTGCAACCTGCTTTACTGAATGCACGAAGTACACACGACGGCGGCGACTCCGAACATTTTCAAACATACGAGCATGATGGCGCTGTTGTTCCCCAGCTATGTTTTAACATCTGAGTTCCTACCTAGTCATAGGACGCCGTTGTTGCTGTTACCTGCCGTCGTTGCTGCTGTTGTCGTTGTTATTGCTGCTGCTGTTGGTGATGATACTGCAATTGATGATGGTTTTGTTGCTGTTGCTGCTGCTGTTGATGAGTACGGTGTCATTGCCGTTGTTGTGATGGTGTTGCTGTTGATGTTGTTGGTGGTGCTATTGTTGCTGGTGGTGGTGTAGCTGTTGTTGTTGCTGATGTTGATGTTGTTGTGATGGGTTGTATTGTGTTGTGGTTGTGGTTGTGTTTGTTGTTGTGCTGTTGTTGGGTCCTCAATCCTGGAGAACAGTTATTGTTGATCCTCCCTCGGGTGACAGTTGTGCTTGTTCCATTGAAGTGACCCTCCTGGGGCTCGCACGTTTCTGGCATCAAGGAAAATCCTCCTCCTCGAACTGCGTTGTTGGGCCCCGAACTACTACAACAACAACGGTTCCCGCCTGATACTTCCTCACCATGTATTTCCATATCGCGCTCTCGCGCGGGATTTTCCCAGAATCTATGTACGAATCGCGTTCTCTCGGCGTGGCACGCCCTCGCGCTTTATCAGACGATGCGCCCTCGGCGCTCAGGAATCACGCTCTCGCTTTGGACTTTCTCAGGGTTGACTGGAGAATCGCGCTATCGCCGCGATTCATGCAGGACCCACACTTCAGCAACCAGCCTGTTCGACCTGGTCGCCTGGGCCCGCCTTCCCGACCTGCCCGCTATGGGTCTCCCCGCCGTGCTCGTCTGCTTCTGCCACTTGTTCTCTGTTCCTTGTCCCCCTCCTACTAATTTCTCTCTTGTTCCATTCCTCTCCCCCCTCTTCCGCCCGTCCCCTTTTCCCTTGTGTTAGGGGCTGCACTACATGCTCGTGGCAAGTAAGGAAGATATACCACCAAACGGGTTTGATCGAACACGACGAGACCGGGTACCGAGGGTTTGGGATATACGATATACGTATTGATTGGCACGTGAGCAGGTAGGAACGAGCAATCTTAAACTACGTGTTGTTGCCGCTGTTGCTGCTGCTGTTGTTCTTGTTGTGATTCGTGTTGTTGTTGTTGTTGTTGGTATGTTCGTTCCTGTTGTTGTTGTTGTTGCTGTTGATGTTATTGCTATTGCTGTTGAATTCTCACTACTGAAGAACAATGCGTGTTGATCCCCCCTCCGGTGGCCATTCTGTTTTTTCAATTGAAGTGCCTCCTGGGGCTCGCACCCTCCTTGTTACACCAGACAATCGCGGGTCTCAAACTTGGCCCCTGGCCCCTGGTTTACAACAGCGGCTCCCGCCTGATACTTCCTCACAATGGATTCCCATATCGCGCTCTCGCGCGGAACTTCCTCACAATGTGTGTACGCATCGCGCTCTCGCGCGGGACTTCCTCCCAATTTGTTCAGACGATGCGCCCTCGGCGCTCAAGAATCACGCTCTCGCTCTGGCTTTTCTGAGGATTTACTGGGGTATCGCGCCATCGCTGGCGACTTACTCGCGATTCATGCAGGACCCACGCTTCAGCAACCCGCCTGCTCGACCTCGTCGCCTGGGCCCGCCTTCCCGACCTGCCCGCTATGGGTCTGCCCACCCGATCTGCCCGTCTGGTTCTACCACTTGTTTTCTGTTCCTTGCCCCCCTCCTGTTAATTTCTCTCGTGTTTCATTCCTCTCCCTCCCCCTTCCACCCGTCCTCTCTTCCCTTGTGTTAGGGGCTGCGTGACATGCACGTGGCAGGTAAGGAAGATATACCCCCAAGGGGGTACGATCGAGAACGACGAGGGCGGGTACCGAGGGTTTAGGATATACCTATTGATTAGTACGTGAGCAGATAGGAGCGAACAGTATTAAGCTGATTGTTGTTGCTGCTGCTGTTGCTGTTGCTGTTGCTGTTGCTGTTGTGGTTGTTGTTGTGGTTGTTGTTGTTGTGGTTGTGGTTGTGGTTGTGGTTGTTGTGGTTGTTGTTGAACATTATTTATTCTAAAGAATAATTATTGTTGGGCCCCCTGGTGCGCGCCCCCCCTGCGCCGCCTAGGCCGCAGCTACATTTTCATCATTTTCGTGAGGAAGCCTCTGTGTGCTGTTTTGTTGTAATCCGCTTTCCCTTGCAAAAAACAATAGAAAATGACATTTCTTGTTCTAATATAATCAAATTTCAAGAATCCCTTGCAAAAAATAAGGTAAAGTGGACATTCGCGCGCGCAAGACGAAATCCTTCCAAAACCTTAGTGTTCGCAGCGATTTTAACATAAAAACATCAAAAAACCAATGGTTTTTTTGTCAAAATCTCATCCCGCGCGCTCTTGCGGATTCGTAGGAAACCCAACACTTTTAAACATTTCTGTCAAACGGGCTTTTGCGAGCAACTTTTTCGAACTTCTGCGACAACGGTTGCGCACCTGCCAGGGCCATCATCCCTGTCAAATAATACCATGCGGGACACATTCGTTTTTTCTTCGCGCGCGCACGCCGTCGTCGTCGGCCGCGGGGCCCTGAATAGTAGCCACGGTCGTCCGCATGCCACGAAGTGAAGTGTCCGAACGTCATAGGGCGGGAAGCTGGGTGTGGGTGGTGGCGAAGAGTCGTTTGGAAATTTGGTAGAGCTTGAACCGGCCCCCCCACAAAGTGGGGGTATTGCCCGCCTCCTATGAAAACCCTGGCACTGGTGAGAACGGAGTGTCCCCACGTGCTAGTAATTGTTGTTGTTGTTGTTGTTGTTGTTGTTGTTGTTGTTGTTGTGGGCCAACTGTGCCTCGGATACCCCGGCCCTCCGAAAGTGGCGACTCTCACAGCGATGGTTCCCCTCTGGAGGAGCAGGAGCCCTCTGGCGCCTGTGGGCCACTTGTGGTGCGGGCGCCCTGGCCCCTCGGAAAGTGGCGACCCTCACGAGGATGGTGCCCCTCTGGAGGGGCTGATGCCCTCTGTCGCAGTTGTAATCGTAGTTCGGGCGCCCTGGCCCCTCGGAAAGTGGCCACTCTCATGAGGATGGTACCCCTCTGGAGAGGCTGAAGCCCCCTGCCGCCTCTGTGGGCCAGTTGTGGTTCGGGCGCCCTGGCCCCTTGGAAAGCGGCGGGCCCTTATGAGGATGATGCCCCCTCTGGAGGGGCTGAGGCCCTCTGCCGCATCTGTGGGCCAGGTGGTTCGGGCGCCCTGGCCCCATGAGAAACTGCGACCCTCACGAGGATGCTGTCCCTTTGGAGGAGCAGGGTTCCTTTGGCGCCTCTGTAGGCCAGTTGTGGTGCGGGCGCCCTGGCCCATCGAAAAACAACGACCCTAACGAGGATGCTGCCCCTCTGGAGGAGCAGGGATTCGTTGCCGGCTCCGTGGCACAGTTGTGGGCCGAAAAGTGGCGACCTTCACGAGGATGCTGCCCTTCTAGGGGAGCACGGCTCCTCCTCCGGCTCTGTGGCCCAGTTGTGGTTCGGGCGCCCTGGCCCCTCGAAAAGTGGCGACCCTCATGAGGATGTTCGCGCACTCATATTTGGGGTCGACGTTCTGGAAAAACGCGTTATCGCTCGAGGCTCGCTACAGCGAAGGTGCTTCCGACGAGACCCCCAAAACATGCATCACAAAGACATGATAAGAGGAGGCGAGAGGAGGGATTGAGGACCGAGGCATATTTGTACGTTGCAGGCATCTCACTGGGTCTCGCAGACACACGAGGGTACCCTCCACCAGGATGCACAAGAACATCCAATAAGCAAGAAGAACACTAGGGTACCCTCCCTGAACAGACCTCGATCTTATACCTCGGTCCGGCTGTAAGTGGGAAGGGCCGAGACGATCAGCATCAAAACGACCGCGGCTGCCCAGACGCGGGGAGCCGATCGTGAAAGGACGGGGGGGGGCCTCGCGGAGGGGGGCACGCGCGCACGGGGGGCGCGGGACGAGGGGGTGTTTGCGCAGGGAAGATGGGGGATGCGCTTCTGGTGGGAGCCCGCAGCGGTTCTGACATGCAAATCGGTTGTCAAACTTGGGTATGGGGGAGGTGCTGGGGAAGACGGGGAGGGGGGAACTGGGGGGATAGGTCTTGCTCCTCCTCCGACGCTTCCGCGGAGACCTCCAGTTCCGAGAGCCTCCAGAATTTTTTGTGGTGGCTCTTCCCCGTCCTGATCCTAAGCGCTCGCCCCCCGCGGAGGGAAGGAATGAGAAGGGGAGGGGAGGGATGGAGGACGGGCGGGGAGGAAGAAGGGGAGCACGGGCGGACGGGGAGGACTGGGGGTTGGCAGCTGGGGGGGGGGGGGCGGAGGAGGGACGACGACGACGACGACGACGAGGACCACGTCGACGCCGACAACATGATCTGGGGTCCAAAACCTGGATCCCCGATCCTCGACCTCGGCGACGACCAGGACGACGGCGGAGGCAGCGGGAGAGGAGGCCACTGTGTCTGGAGGTGGGGGGGCCTGCAGGCGGTAGTCGAGGGAAGTCTCCCCGATTTTTTGCGAATGCCCGTTGCAGGTCTGGATGTCCTGCGGCATGGCCAGGGTCGCCGTCAGGAGGGTGAGGGGGAGAGGGGCGCAGCAGATCGGACAATGAGAGCAGGGGAAATACAGCCAACGTGCTACCACAGGGAACGCTGAATGAGAAACGAAGGGGCCTGATTAGCCACAGCGAGCCTAGAGCTTCCTCGACCAAGGTCTGAGAAACGGCCCGAAATCCAGAGCCCCTCCTGATCCCGAGGTGGTCCTGATTTCAGCTTCATGGCTTTAGGAATCAACTCTTGGCATGTTTTCGTAAGGACAACGTAGGGACGATTAGGGTTATTAACCCCGACTCAGAACCCAGTAAGCCAGATTAGGCCGGACCAGGATTAGGCCAGACTACGCCAAATTAGTATGTTTTCAACAGCCTTGGAAAGGACTCAGCCAGATTAGGCTGGTTGCCGACCAGGGATCTACCAGCGCCGATGCCGAATGTAACCTCCCAGGAGTTGAATCCTAAATGACTGCATGTGACGTACTCGACGATGTACCCCTTGCTGCCCACTGGCCCTGGGCGGTCTTCGGCAGTCGTCGGCGGTCTTCGGCCAGTCGTCGGCGGTCTTCTGCGGTCTTCTGAAGGTCTTCTGGCGGTCTTCGGCGGCTCTCGCTGGTTTCTGGCGATCGTCGGCGGTTTTCGGCTCGAACGCTGGGCGGTTGCGGTCAACAACAGGTCCATGATCGAGCACCGAACCGTACGCGCGAAGTCTTGCCGCGGGGGAGCGCAGGGGAAGGCAGGAGAGCGCTCGACCGAATCGAGAAGTCGGATCAGCGATCGGAATGAATCGGATCGGCGGACATCGGCAGCCGAGTCAGGAGAAGTCGAATCGGCAGAAATCGGCAGGCTAATAAGGCCTCCAATTAGATAATGGAGCCCGATCTCTGAATCCCAAGTCGAATCGACTCGAGATCGGAAACCATCGAAGTCGAATCGACTCGGATCGGAGACGTCGAGATGAGCCCTGGGAGGGAGCGCAACGCCCCGCCTGGTCCTGCGCTGCACCCCGTGGCGCGAGGAGCGGCATAGGAGGCCCCCCAAGGGGGCCCGAGGAGCATCGGGGCCTGTCCCGAAACCAAAGGGGGACCTTTCTCGGCGGCGAACAAGAGGGGGAAACGAGAAGGAAACGGCCTTCTCAGAAGGCGGCGGGGCTTCTCAGAAGCCCTCGCGCCATCAGAGAAGTTTTCTGTGGTGTCTTCGGGGAATGCTGAGGAAACTTCTCAGAAGGCCGCGGGACTTCCGAACCTTCTGGGAAGGCCCGTTTCTTCTCACTTCCCGCTTTTCCCGGGGCTCGCCGTCGACTTCCAGTCAACCCGCATACAGCCAGACCTCCCCCAAGAACATGAGACCTTCCGTTAGCCAAAACAAGCAGAACATCCAATGGTCCCCTCCCCAGCCCAGGATGCACAAGAGCGTCCAACAGACACGAAAAGCACCAAGGCACCCTCCCCGAACCAACCTCGTTATTGTACCTCGGTCCGACCGGAAGGATACAAGGGCCTCGGCAGGCCATGCCGACACTTTGCGAGCGGGGCGCGGCCAGGGATGGGCCGCAAGGGAAAGATGAAAACATAGAACCTTGGAGC